CGCTTTTTATCGATTTTGGCACCTTTTTACTTCACTTTGGTTAATGTCATAAATTAATTTAAACTTTATTGTAAAATTTTTTTTTGTTCTGTGGACTGTCTAACTATATAACTTATTTCAGCATCCATTGATGCTGCATGACATGTATTCGATAACTCCTAAATTCGAATAGTAAAAAAATAAGAAAGGGAGGAATAGAATTCGCGCTAATCTCTTAATATACAAGTATAATCAAATGTATAATTCTTATTTATTTTTTGACAGTATAATAAACAATATATAAGCTTATTTTGTTATGGTTATTTTGAAAAGATTTTTGATCAAAAAGATGTAGTTTATTTTAAAACTAAATAAATTATTCCTTGGAATTTGTCAGGCGACTATGATTTAAACAATGATTTAACTCCACCAATATAGATTGTTACTATTTCTGTTTTTTTACTTGAAATTAAGTTTTTATTATTTTTCTGTGTTTTGGATTATTTTGGAACATATTTCGCAATTATGATTGGAGTAGCACAACAAATTTTCTTTCCTTGTTGTTTTAGGCATTTTGGTTTTGGCCTTTGCTCATTCTTTACATATGGGGGGCTCCACAGCAAAAGGTGGTGATGGGCCAAAAAAAATTTTTTTTGCAAAACTTTATTTTTGCAAAAATTAGATCATTTTGAACACAATATTAAAAAACTACAGAAAAAATTTTTTTGGCCCATCACCACCTTTTGCTGTGGAGCCCCCTATATTTTATTAAGACCTACTACTGAATATTCTTATAATCAACCAAGTTATACTGATGATTATAATCCTTGGAATCTTGTTTCAACATATCAATTTATTTCACCTAATGGTACAGTTGAAGGATCATCACTTGTTGCAACTCCTGATGATAATACAAATTTGTTTGCGCTATTTAGTACTTCTCTATTAGCTGTATATTTTATGCTAATAGGTATTGTATATAGTAAAAAACCAAATAATATATAACAAGAAAATAATCTCATTATTTTAATTTGATTTTGGGTGATTCCAGCATAATATCTTCTTGGGTTTATAAAAATAACTGGATGCTAGTATTTTTATTAGTTATATTTTCATTTTTTACAACAATTTATTTATTAAACCTGTTTATTTCATTACTTGGAGTGGCTGTTGATAAAACAAATAATAAGGAATCTTTTTCGTCATTCGTCCGAGTTTCGTCATTCGTCATTCGTCAATTCGTCGTTGCCTGACAAAGGGTTTACTAATTTTCCCATAGTTTCTATTGGACGAAGAAAAATCCTGCTTTTTGATCAAAATAATGGAAGTATCGTTAAAGCAGTATAAGGCCTAATTGAACATGTATTGCCTTATTTTTTCATTATTTAATCAAAAAATTAATTTCGGCCAAAATAATGTTATTGTGGAACAAAATTTTGTTGCCTACAGTACAGTAGAACCGTCGCCTAAAACATACGATATCCATTCCAATAATAAATAAAATATTTATAATAATGTCGCGAATCAACATAAAATAGATCACTATACATTTGTTTGAATTTAACTAAATAGTTTTTAGTAAATAAAAAAGGTTTTATCTTTATTCAATCACAGACAAATTATAATGAATCTTAAAAAATAAAAATTATAAATATATCGAATCAAAATTTGCTAAAGTACATGGTCAAGAACATAAAATTATCAAAACAAATTACCTCTGAATTCATTAAAGCATCTCTTTACCGTTTCAATATCTTGAAAATTTTTAGGAACAGTAAATGAAACATAATTTTCACCCATTATTATTCGTAAAAGTGAATCAAAATTTTCATCATTTAAGTACTCAAAAAATCTTCTTGATGCGCCTGCTTCAGCAAGGTTTCGAAGTGTTGCAGTTTTATGGTCAAAAATTATATGTTTGATTCTGAACAATGCTTTCCAAATTCTACCCTCAGCTCTATCCGTTTTGAGATTCAGCGCCTTTTTAATTTGTACTCTCACATATCCCCGGAGTGAGGTAAAAGATGCATTACGTCCAAGTGAAATCCCTTTTGTTTTTTTTCATTTATACTAAGATTTAAATGCTCTATTGGTGTTTCTTTTGATGCTAAATTAAAAAGAGCAATGTATGCACCATACAATTTGAAAAAATGCCAAATTCTAAAAAATTTGGTTTCAATGTAAAGACCTTCAAGGGATTTATCAGTATTTTCCCACTCACTAATGTTCTTCAATACAGTCTCAAGGTTATCTCCAAATTCTTGAAGATTATTAATTAGATCAGTTGGATTCATATCCAAATTTTGGTGGATATTCTGAGGATTTAATGATTCTTGACGAAATGGACCTTGATTAACTTGGTTTTGACTAATCAATTTAACCAATTTGTTTGCAACGCCTTTTAATTCTAACAGAAATTATTTTAATAAAAATTAATGTCATCAATTTAATTAAACAATATAATATACACGAATATACGAACTTAGTTGATATTTATTATCATTAACCCGACCTGAACTTGAGAATGAATTTTTTAGAATAGGCCTCATAGGAAGACATTCATATGATTGGTTTTTTAATACTATTAGAAAACGAAAAAAATTTCGTATAAAGAAAGTTTATATGAGTGCTGTCAAGGAAAAACCTGTCATCGGGCTTTCAATGTTCAGTTTGTTTCCTGAGTGCCGTCTAGGAAAAATCTATCATCGGAATTTCAATTACATTTTATGACAAGTAATCACAAAATATAAATAAAAATCCGATAATAGATTTTCCCTAGACGGCACTTAGGAAACAAACTGAACATTGAAAGCCCGATGACAGGTTTTCCCTTGACGGCACTCATATAATACATACAAAAAATTGTCTCAAATATTTAGAGGATATATAGATACGCATAAAGTGGGTAAATGTGATATTTATTATTAATAAATCTGAATCCAGTAAAGAACCTACAAGAATAAATCAAATATTTTAATTTACAGTTGACAAACATAAATACACTACAAGAACCAAATAAATTTAAAGACTATACTAATCTAACTGCTGTACTATTTTAGTAAGGAACTCAAGCCTAAGTACTGGATATACTAAACCCTTATACTCACAAAAAAAGTTCATAAAATCTAATACTGTAATATGCAAGAAATAAAGGTATTAGGAGCTAGTTGTAATAAATAAAGCGGCAATAAAAAGTTCTTTATTATGTAAAACTTACATTTTTTTATTCTTTTTAGTCATTTCCAGTTGACCATTTCAGGCGTTTAACACATATATATGTCGTACCTCAGATTCGAATAGACGTAGGTTTGAAATTGAGCTGTGTAGAATTTGACTTTGAGATGCGTCAAATCAGTTTATCATATACTATCGAATATTCGTTTATTCGTGACGACTTAGTCAAAAAAAATATTGATTGGCACCGAACAAAAAAGAAAAGAAAGGTCTTAATAAATCTGGGTTAAAAATAAATTTAAATTACAAAAATTTCATCTAACTCCATATTATACTTTATTATTGGACCAAAACAAAAAAAAAAAGACAATAAAAAGGTTGAAATTGAACTTCCGTATTGGTGGTAGAAAATATGTATGATGAACTTTACAAAATCCACACTACAATTACTCAATACGAGAGTCAAAAAGAGACATGGAGTCATCAAAATAATGGTGGTGTTCTTACCTGAAACACGTACAAGTGTAAAAGTAATTGTGATACTAATAAATGGCGTTGTAAAAAATCCAGAGTTGGATGTGAAAGCAAATGTCATAGCGAAAAAATATGCAATGATAAAATTCTAGTCTAGAAATTAAAAGCTGTTTTATTCATTAATTGATTTGAATTAACTATTTTAATAAGCATCGTAAGCTTTTGCTCACTTATTACCAATATGTTTAAATGGTTTTATTAAATATTAAAATTTTTTAGTCTTTAAATTATTAAAATAAAAGATCTTTTATCGAATTTGAATAGCTGGTTGTTGAAAAATATTCATTAAAAAAGTTAAAAAAAAATTTGACCGCAGTTTTTTTTATAGGCGCCTAAAGTTTGAACAAGGATAAGAAAATGTTGTTTTTAAAATAGTTCAATAATTATTTTCAGGCGAGCTCATTGATTCAATGTTTAACGAATGATTTTATTAATAATTAACTTATATTATCGTGCATAAATTTTAAAGAGCAAAACTCGCTATAATAATCTCTTAATTTATTCAATAAATCTTTAAGGTAATAACTTACAAATATTGGTTCTATTTCTATTTCAATATGATATATTATAGCTACTTAAACTTTCATTTGTATAACGTTCAAACTCTTGAAAATAATCCCTGCCAGTAATTTTAGTTAAAAAAGCAAGAAACTCAAGCTTGGTAGAAGATTCAAAGAATCTACGCGTTGCGCCAGCAATGGCAAGTTCTTCTTTTGACGAAATTCCATTAGTAAGTATAAAATTGATACGCAATAATGCTTTGAATATTCTTTCTTCTGATTTATCAGTATCCACACCAAGAATTTGCAACATTCGAATTCTAACCCATTTCCTTATCGCTGTTTTGCTCGTTCCGACACCAAGAGAAATTCCTTCCTGAATTTTTTGTTCAACGTTGAGAAATCTATGTTCATGTGGTGTTTCTTTAATAGCCAGGTTATATAAGGAAATGTATGCTTCCAATAACTTGTAAAAATGACATATTCGGAAATAATTAAGTCTTGTCTCCAATATCTTCATATTGGCCTCCGTTTCTTTCCACATTCTATACCCGTTTTTTATGGATTCAATAGTATCACCAAATATAGGCATATTCTGATCAAATTTATCATTAAACAAATCAGGATATAACGATAAATTATCTTGAGGTAAACCATCACCTGATTTCAGATTAAGTATATTTTGAGCGATTGTTTCCCAATCTTTTTTCTTCCACACTAAATAAATTATATAATCATATAAATTAATTTAAAATAGGCGAATCTATTTGTCGCTGGCGGTGACAGACCTTCAAAAACCTCAAAAATTTCAAATCAAAACTAAAAATTATGCCTATGAAACCAAAATGACCTTTCTAACCTTAAATATAACTCTAAATAAAATCTGGGTACTGTCACTGCCGGTGACAAGTAGATTATTTCTTTTAAATAAACCAAATTAAAAAGATACCTTTCTTTCTGTTTGTGTTTGTGTTTTCTTTGTCTTCTTGTCTGATATCAACTTCTAGTGTTTCGGAGGATCCAGACTTAGTAACTAACAAATGATCTAAAAAATAAATTTTGCGGATCATCCGAATTTCACGATGATAATAAATAACCAAATATCTATAAATAGCTCACAACATATTTCAAATCCTAATAATTAAAATTTACCACTATGCAAATGAATATCGGAACTTTCTGAATGTATCATCACAGAATGACCTATTTGAAACAATTTTTAAGTTATTTTTTAAAAATAAGGAATCAATATATTAAATAATTACCGAAGGTATTTATAGCCTTTACTTTCCATGAATTAATGGGAAATTTCGAAAATTTTGAATTTTGCAAAGCTAGTATTAACTGTAAATATGTAGTTTTAACCCCATTTTCAATTTCTGTTTTTAATTTTTCATTCCGACCAAATATCGTTTCAAGTCTAGAATTTATCTTTTCCCAGGTATAGTCGTCGTCAAAATAATCTTGTTCAATATTTAATTCAGATAATAATTTATCCAAATTTAATAAATTTTGATTTGATGAAATTGATCTATTTTCGATAAGCGGCGAGTACGCGGATGAGCTTGAAATAACGGGAATTTCCTAAATTAATACACTTGACCCTCGCTAATTTCAACCACTCTTACATTCATGTTGATAGTAAAGTTGATATATGTGAGGGAATTTTGATATATAAAAATTTATAAAAATTTGTCTTGTGGCTTAGGTTGATATTAACTAAATAAAAAATGCTCAGTGACATTCATTCTCCATAGAGTCACATCACACTCTCTTTATAAGCACATTAATTATTAGAACAAACTTTATAAAATGTTTATTATAAGCCATAAAAGAATGTATAAAGCATGTTTACGTTCTTTTTATTACAACCAATAAAAGCATGTTTATCATTGCCTTTTATTATTAACTGATAAAAGCTGGTATATCGTTGCTTTTAGTTAAACCGATAAAAGCATGTTTATCATTGCCTTTTATTATTAACTGATAAAAGCTGGTATATCGTTGCTTTTAGTTAAACCGATA